ATTGGTTTTACTTTCGAAATAGTACGTTCACTGTTCTGGTCATTACTGATCTTTCCAATAAGTAATGTATGTAATATGTTACTTCCATTTAGTTTCTCATGAGTAAGAATGGTATCTAATACATGATTAATTTGTTTTGGAAAACTCGCATGAGTACCAATTGGGCACATACCAATATTCATTTCTAAACCATGATTCATTAATAAATGTGACATCTTTCCTATATTTATTGTGGACTCTGATCGTCCGATGAAGAAGATTGCACATTGACAGTCATGGAATATAATCTTTGCATCATTGTCATCATCTAAGAATAGTGGTGTTTCCTCTTGTGTAGTTTCAGTTTCGACATCAAAAGATGTAACCGTCTCATTTTCTTCATTATAAGTAAACCATTGGTCCTTGTTATTGTTGACTGATTTTAGATAAATAATGCATTGATGGTTATCATTTTGTATATTTTTAGAAATATCTTGTTCAGATGACGAAATTTTGAAACAATAATGTGTGTCATCCTCATCCATATTCAGAATATTCCGAGTTATAGACTCATTATGCGTATTTTCCAAGAAAGTCAATCCTAATCTTGACCCTTCTTTTTCCAATAATCCCATAACATATCCTGTTTCTAGCATACAAAATTGAGAACCCAATCTTTTACCATACAGCGGTGCAATCGCTGATGATCGTCCAACAAGATGTAATCTTATATTCATCATTTCATTATTAATATGAGTACTAATTAGCTCTAGAGTATGTTCATCTGGATTATGATAGTAAACACCAGGCAAAATGTTATCTATAGATGTTGGTAATTCAATATATACCTGTACTGGATAAAGACTGCCAGCTGACGCATAACGGTATTTTGGTAACGGTTGATCAGAAATATTGATCGGTGTTAATACTGCTAATAGTTGACTAAGAATATCAAAGCTGAGATGAGATAAAGATGTTCTCTCGTTCCTGTTGATATTGTGACATTTTCTTAATAAATATTCAATGGTACATCTTTCCATAGTTTCATTTGTAAATTGTCGATAGCTTTTTCTCATATAATATGTATTGATTAATGTTTCTGTAAGCTTTGGTTTTGTTAGAGCAAAGCTCTTTGCTACCTTCTTTTGATGTCTTATACCATGTCTTGCAAGCTTAAATTTAGTACGTTCAATGGGATTAACGGTTAACATCTCCGCTGAATCATATTCTTCGATGTGGATAGAATGTTTTTCTGACATAACATATCCGATAAACTGTTGGGATTTGTCGTCAATATTAACAATAACTTGATGAATATCTGGATGTTGTTGTAAATGATATTCAATCTCACCAAGTTCAATACGATGACCATGTACTTTCACTTGAAAATCGTTTCGTCCCATAAATTCAATATATCCATTTGGTAGAAATCGACCATAATCACCTGTTCGATAAAGACGTTTATTAGTTAATGGGTGAATAATAAAACTTGATCGTGTTTTTTCTCGATCGTTCCAATAACCATTAGCTAAACCTTCACCACCAATATATAATTCACCAATAACCCATTCAGGACAATCATCAAGATGTATATCATAAACATAATATTGTTGATTTCTTAACGGTATTCCATACGGAATTGATTTCCATTCTCGTGGCATTTCTTTTGGTAGAGTATAGGCAATTGACCAAATCGATGCTTCTGTTGCACCACCTAAACTAGTTATTGTTACTTGTTCACCTAATGTTGTTTGTATTGATTCAGGTAAAGATAATGGTATCCAATCACCACTTAATAAAATATGTCGTAATTGATTCTGATTATTTGTATGTTTGAGATGTTCAACAAACATTTGCATTAACATTGGAACACTATTCCAAATAGTGACCTGATGTTTAATTACCATATCATACCAATGTTGAGGATTTTTATAATCTTCATGATCTGGAATTACTATAGTTCCGCCAGCAATTAACATGCCAAATATATCATAAACTGATAAATCAAAATTTAAATGTGATAATGCAAATATTCTATCATTAGCTAAGATTTCTAATCTTGAATTCATATCTAAAATAGTGTTTACAACAGCTTGATGACTAATCATAACACCCTTTGGTTTTCCCGTTGATCCAGATGTATAAATAACATAAGCTAAATCAGTTGATGATTGTTGTTTGATAGGAAATGGTGTTGGATAATTATCATCCGTTATGAATGTATCAACTGGAATAGTTGTGAGATATGGAAATCTATGTTGACAATGAGATTGTGTAAGAAGAATTGTGACATTAGTTTCTTCGATTAATGAACAAAGACGATCATAGGGTGAATCAACATCCAAAGGTAAATAAGCACCACCTGAAACTAAAATAGCTAAACAAGCAACAATTTGTTCCCAACCTTTCGTCATTAGAATAGCAATTAGCTGATTGGAATATGTTTGTTGTTGTTGTTGCTGCAAATCGTATGCCAGTGAATAAACACGATTCATTAGTTCTTTATATGTTAAATTTACTTGAGAAGAAACAATAGCTAATGCATTAGGTGTTAATTCAGCTTGTTTAATAACGAGTGAATGGAGTAGTTTATCTTTAACGTTTGATTCCCATTGCGTTTGATTGAAATCTAATCGTCGTTCTTGTTGTTCAGAGGGTAAAGGGACGAATATGGGCTTTTGCCATATATCATCAAACAAAGCCAATTTGACAAGTAAATCAACGAATGTATCATGCATATGATTGAGCATTTCCTTTCGAAGTAAATTCTCTACATATGTCCAATTTATTGATAAACAACCGTTAATCTCCATCACTATATGATCAAGAAAAACTTGTGGTGTTTGACTAATCGCATAAACCGGTTCTTGATCAAAAAATATATTGTGTTCAACATTTTTCTCACGAATATCTTCAAGATCTACCCCACATGTGAAAACATACGGTAAAAGAATTTCTCTTGTCTGATGCATCTGCATTAAGTCACGAATAAATGACACACCATCATAAGATATATGTTCAAGATCGTTCCAGAGTTGTTTCTGCACAGTGTGAAGAAATTCGTAATAAGTGATTACCTTATTCAGATTAATTTCCAATGGTATAACTGTTGTAAAATCTCCTGCTATTTGATTAACTTGTGGATGAATAGGTAATCGATTGAAAACTGGTAGATTCAAAGCGAAATGTTTATTTTCACTCCATTTACCCAATACTAAGGCATAAACTGACACTAAGAAACCAGCTGGTGTCAGCCCATGATCGGTAATACGTTTTCTTAATTTTTGCCACAGTGATTGTTCTAACAGTGTTGCCGCATTGCAGTGACGTTGTATATATATCTCGTTTGGTAAACACTGTAATGGTAAATTTGGACCTAATGGAAATGATTTTAGACGACTTATCCAATATTGTCTATCATTGCTATAAATAGTCGTGTACTTCCATTGTTGCTCTGCTAGAATGTAATCTCGATAAGATAGTTTTAGTTCTACTAAGATATCGTTCAATTTGCAGTACAATTGATTTAATTCATTTAAAACTAAATTCATGCTCCATAAATCCAAGATCAGTAAATCGAAACCAAAATGCAAACGTATTTTATAACCGTCATCACTAATGAAACGAGTTATTTGAAAATCAAATAACGGCCATTGATCAGCTGATCGAATCTGATGTGATAGTTGTTCTCGTCGTTCTATTAGATATTTTTGAGTAGATTTAACATCATCTAAGTTAAGTATAGGTATAGTATAATAAGGAACTATTTTGAGAATTTTCTGTTCGGTATGAGACGGAAAGATCAGACGCAATGCTTCATGCCGTTGGATTAAATAATTCAATGCTCGTTCGAGGCAGTCGATGTCGAACGTTGACGAAAAATCATATTCGCTATAGCTAAAAGTAGAAACATTACCAAGATTTATGGCACCTTCACGTCCAACTAGATATGCTAGTTGAATATTTGTAACAGGAAATGGTTCATATCTTAACAATTCATCTGCGACTAGTATGATATTCTCGTGAGAGATTGGACAGGCACGCTTTTCAATAGATGTTTCTATTAATACAAAGAAAAAGTAAAAAGTGATAAGTATGCAAAATTGATCAGGCAATACGATATACCTTGCGTATTATGTGCTGTAGAGAAAAGTTTTTGATATATTTGTGGATCATCTATCGATTGATGCATGAGACGAGCATGATCAGCAATGGTGAGATGTTGGGAGAGTTCAAAAATATTGATCTTAGTCGTGTCAATGTTGAGTGTCATCTTGTAGTTATGGTATAATTGAACGAGTAAGAGAGAATGGCCACCGATACTTAAAAAATTTGTATTAGTAGATATTCTGCTCTGAGAGAGAACCTGACACCACAATGAATGAATATAGATTTCGAGTTCATTGCTGGGCTCTACATGTTGCTGATGGATCGTGTCAGGTGAATGAAGCGAAGTTTTCGGAATTGGTAAAGATTTTCGATCGACCTTTCCATTAGCATTTAAAGGTAGGTTATCAAGAATGATAAAAAAAGATGGAATCATATGTGGTGGAAGATGAGACTGACAATGTTGACGTAGTTCTTCTTCATTTATACGAGAAGACTGAACATAAGCAACTAAGTAATCATCATTCCATTTCATGACAACACAAGCAGATACAGATATGATGTTAAGCAAACATCGTTCGATTTCACCAAGTTCAATTCTTTGTCCATGTAATTTGATTTGATGATCTTTTCTTCCTTGATAATGAAGAAGGCCATTGTTATCTATTGTAACAAGATCACCTGTTCGATAAAATAGTTGACCATCTATTTCAAGAAGAGCTTTTGCAGTTAAATCATCACGTCCGAGATATCCAGCAAACACACCCACCCCACCGAGAAACAATTCACCTTCTTCACCTCTAACAGATGATTGTAAATATTCACTCATAATCATACATCGATAGTTGAGTAGTGGACGTCCCATTGGAATGCTAGTCATATTTATATTCCTACCTATAACATAAATTGTGGAGTCGACAGTTATTTCTGAAGGTCCGTAGCCGTTCCATACAAAACTATCTTGCGGTAGATATGTATATAGCTTGTCAATAAGTTGAACTGTGCTCGCTTCTCCTAGAAAGTTTCAAGAATAAGTGCTTAATAAATAAAATGTGAGACGTACCACCAATAGCAACAATACACAAACTGGTGAAACTTGAAATGTTGTGACTTTCTAAAAATTCCAACAATATATTAGCATATGACGGCACCAACGAGAGGTATGATACTTGTTTCCCATTTAACGTCTTTGTCATATAGTCTAAATCCATATTACCTTGAGGATGAAGCATTATAATTGTTGAACTAGTGATTAAAGCTCCAATAATCTCCTCAACATGCACATCAAATGAGCAGCTTGCCATTTGTATCAGGGTACCTTTATTTGGGAATAAATTCAATCGAACAAGAGAATCAATGCAAGCCAAGAAGTTTCGATGACGAATTTGGACCTAAAAAGCAAAACTCAAATAAAAGTATTATTTAGACAAGAGTTCATCCTACTCCTTTCGATGCTCCTGTTGAACCACTAGTAAAAACAATATATGCAATATTGTCTGCCGTTAATACAATATCCGAAAGGCGATCCAGAATTATAGAACCGTTAATGTGGTTGATAGTCCATATTAAATCTATGTTGCATAAAACGATTTCACTAGAAAACTTTAACATTGTAGAATGATCAGCGAGCACAAGACGACATTGAGTTTGCTCTATTAGCGCATGTAATCGGTGTTGCGGATCTCGAGGTGATAATGGACAATAAACACCACCAGCCATCTCAATTGCCATAATACCAATCACCTAGTCAAAACCAAGTACACATTCACATCAGTAGTTATTTTCCGTAATTAACTTACCATTTCCAAACTTCGCTCTACACATTGACTTACGATTTCACCTGGAAACACGTGATATTCATTAAGAAGAGTTAAAGATAACATTTGAACATAATATAAGAGTTCACAATATGTTAATGATTGTTCATCTAGTTCAACTGCTAATTTTTGTGGATGTTTCATTACTTGATAAACAAATTTATGATGAATACAAATGAGAGGAGATGAAAATGATATTTGTGTATTATTCACTGATTGCATTAGATATTGTTCATTTGATAATGTTAATGATAATTCATAGATTGGTTTGCTCATTTGATTATCAACCATAGATACAGATAATTGATGTAAGATGGAATGAAATCGTTGTGAAATCGTCTCCACTGTGTCTCGATTGAACAAGTCAAGTGATGCATTGATTGTACAAGAGAGTTGATTCATATCGAAATCATGCTGAATACTAAGAATGAAGTCAAACTTGTTCATGATGTTATCTTCAGTAGTTTTGTTCGAAATGAGCATCACAGAAAGATAACTGTCGCCTATAATCACGTCTTTGCCGAGATCTTGTAGTGAATATTGCATGAACTCCGATAATGTATTAAGAGATGTAGATTTCGAAGCACGTGGATGTTGATCTAGGAGACGTCGAAGAGGAAAATAAGAGTATTTGCGACTGTTTGTTAGTATCTCCTGAACATGTTTAACAAGTTTATGTGGAAACCATTGTGGATCTAGTTGACAGCGCAAGGGAATAGCATTGACAAACATACCAGTCACTGATTTAAGTTCATCTCTGTATCGACTATCTACTTTCATTCCAATGCATAGATCCGTTTCTCCATTCGTCAGCTTAAACAGAAAGACAAAATACATAGACAACGCCAGATGTTCAAGTGAGATGTTTTGTGAAGATGCGTAGTGAAGGAAAGTGTCACGAAGATCATGATCTAAATCGAATGAAATAGATGTTGCAAAACCAGATCGATACTCATTCGTAAGTCGATATCGATCATATGGTAATGAGAGAGACTGATCTAGTTTGCAATCATGTAGAGCATCATGCCAGAACATGCTTGCACCAATCATAGGCATGTGTTGTTCAATGACAGCATCTAAAGAAGAGAGAAAGACATGACATGATTATGAAAAGAGAAGCATGGATATTTACAGTCGAGATAACGAAGACTGTTGGTGCTGCTATCATTGAGCAGCTGACTTGTGGTGTATGCTTGATGAAGATCATGGAGAAATATCTTCATAGATGAAATGTCGAACGAGGCATGATGGAAGTTAAAGATGATGATATCGTTATCGGAGATAAGATCATTGGTAGAAACTTGTTTATAACGAACAATATGACATCGGAAGACAAGACCCTGAGCAAGATCGAAAATATGTGGATTGTGTGTCTCATTGTGGATAATTTCATCCAGTTGTTCGTCTGTTTCATAAATACTTTCGACTACAGAAAATCGATTGTTTTTATGATTTTGTTGGTCAATAATTCGTTGTGTAAGAATGTTTTTTGTAGTATCAAAAATAAGTGCTGTTCTTAGAGATTGATGTTTGTCAACAACAAGATGGAGTGCATAACAAAGCTGCTGAACAGATAAGGTCTGATCAGTTGAAAGGCGATAGCAAAATACCATATTGTATGTTGCCAGTTGTGGTCCGTCCAAATACAAACGACGTTCTTCATCGAGCCATATTTGCTGTTGAGCATATGAAGCTGGTTCTATGATAGTCAGACATTATTCTTACAGTTAAATACTCGAATCTCTCGCAAATACCAATATGTTACTGTTGTAATGAAACAGTTCTCCAAAATTAAATTACTTTCACACAGAATTCTTTTATTAAAATGATGTGTCTCAAACTGACGACATTGTTTTATCAAACTTACTATTTTTTTATGTTCGAAGGGATTTAAACTGATTTCACAAGTTACTCATTATGTACGAGTTTGAGTTCATGCAGATATATAAAGAGGAATTAGAAGCGAGCTTTCTTAGAAGCACTTACTTATTTCGGAGAAATGTCGTAGCGATTCGATGACGTTGGATAAAGTTTCAACGTTCATTGGTAAAAGAGAAAGATTTCCAATTTTTTCAAGAAATGGGTCGAATCCAATGGTTTTCGTATTTTCAATGAAGATATGTAAAAGTAGATTCTGAAAATATCGACCAATGTTGGCCACCGTGACTTCATCATAACAATCAGCACTACATTCCAAAATACAATAAGTTGTTTGGCTGAGGTGATTGTGAATCATTTTTAAATTCATATCATGAGAAGCAATACCATTGCCATGTAACCAAGGTTGTTCAGTATATAAACTTAATATCGAATCGTTTGTCTTGGCTATCGGTTTCATTTCACTAGTTGAAGCAAAGTAAATTTCTTCATATTGAAAATGAAATGGAATCTTGCTTGAACATAGCTCCCTATTACTCCTGATCATCTGTTGATAAGGTAGTTGATAGTAACTAAGAATGTCTATGTCCAGTTGACAAACTTGCTGTACCAAGTTAATAAAGCTTTCATTTGCATTGATTTTGATACGATATGGTAATAAATTCACAAACGCACCAATCATGCATTTTGTATCAATGAATGATCGATTTTCCGTAGGACAGGTCACACACAAGTCACTAATCGTACCATCATTGAGTTCATAAATAAAGAGAAAGAAGCACGCTAATGCTGTATGAAACATAGACAAACCATACAACGATGCAAATTTCATCTGAGCATCGACAAGCATCGAATCCAGTATAAACGATGTGCTATGCCCTTCTCCAGAACGTTTTTTTGTGTCAAATGGGCGTGTAAATGGTGTCGGATAGTTTGCATCAAGGCTGTAATCATCCATCATTTTTGACCAAAACTGTTGGGCTCTTCGTATTTGAGAGTCTTCGGGGATATTAATGAATTGTTGACGCTCATATAGACTGAAATTGATATATTGTAACCTTTCCGTATCCGGTTGCATCTGATCGTATGCTTTTGTAAAAGTAATAAGGAACGGACTAGTAGAACTATAATCGAATGCTACACCATGAAATATAAAAATAACTAGATCTTGCGGATATAGTTTGTCCATGTCATCGTCGGATCCCACCTTCACTAGATGACAACGGATAACTAACCCCTGTTCCAATTCAGCAAAATGCTTGATCGATTCATTTCTAAGTAGATCAGCAATTTCATCGGAACTATGTATATCATTTGCTGTTATTTCAAAGGAATAAGCACCATGATTAACCATAGACTGCACCGCTTGGACTAACATTTTACGATTTTCATCAAAGTAAATTGCTGTTCGAAGTATTTCATGCTGTTCAAGAACAGCAACAACGGCCGAACGAATGCGCTCGATTGGCATTGAGCCATGCTTAATCACTAAAGGTAGAATAAAATTATGCATGGCAGGTGATGTTGTTGGGTCATGATGGATCTTTTCGTCGAGCCATATCCGTTCTTGTGCGAAAGATGCAGCACCTTGCGAACATCCAGAAGCAAGTATAGCTGATGATGCTGGTGAAGGCATCATTTCTTGCTCCTGAATCTTTTGTAATAGAGCCGTTTCCATCAATGTTGACATTTTGTATTTAAATTTTTTAAGTAGCAGAAGCTAAATAAACAAGTACTGTGAGAAATAGAACTATCTGAAAAGAATAAAGCAAATATAATTATTCTCATCGACACTCATATCTAATCAAACAAAGAAATTAGAACTGCATAATATTCTGTCACGAGATTACATAAAAAATAAAATTTATGTGAATGTTTTGTATTACCCATGCCTTGATGATCGTAATTACTTCATCAGATGAAAGCCTTCATAGTCATTATTGGCGATTTTTTCGCACTTTTCCATATAAATATCAAAGCTTCCTACATAAGGTATAAAGACTCGTGGTTTTCCAGGAATATCTGCTCCGTTGTAGATTGACTTCGATGTTCGAAAAAGAGTAGTTTCGACAATATCATTTACATGATTAACCCAAGTATTCTCTGCCTGTAGAGTAGGTTCTATCATATTGATATGATGCGTTCGTAGATATTCCAAACATTGTGTTATCCATTTAACATGCTGTTCGATATGTGAAACCATATTAGCTAAGTCAGATGGAGCATCGGAGCCGCTAATTGTAAATAAGTTTGGAAAGTCAGCGATCATCAGACCTAGATAAGTACGCCATCCTTTTTTCTATTTTTCTCGAAGTGTCTTGCCTGATTGACCGGGAATATCTATATTGAGCAATGCACCAGTGAAGCCATCAAATCCAAGTGCAAGAACGATATCATCTACTTCATAGGTCTTGTTCCCAACTCTAAATCCTGTTACCTGAATTTCATCGATACCTCTATACCGAAAATCAACAAGTGTGATATTATCGCGATTAAATGTTTGATAATAATCAGTGCCACTACAGGGACGTCTGATACCAAAAAGATGATTATATAGTAACAAGAGTCTGGCAGTACTATGATCGTTGACAGTTGCTCGTATCCTAGGCTTAGTAAAATTTGATACTGTTTCATTCGCTTGTTTGTTGATATAGAGATCATTGAAAGGTAGTGTAAATGCGTTTTCACCCTTCTTCCATGCTGATTCATATACTTCTTCCCATTCTTTCGGTATTACACTCAATGCAGGATAGTTTCGAGTGTCATCAAGTAAAAGGGCACCACTTGTTTGCATCATATCGCGTCGAAGTTGGGTATAATTTGACTTCCACCTTTGTTCTTCTTTCGGATCAAGTGAACAATTATTCGACGGAATACCATAGTTCGGTGTTTGCTGCAATACATAAACCATCTTGAGGGTGTGGATGAATGCGAGAGGGCGTAAAATAGGACACGGGCACCCTATAAATACTAGTTGCATCACTCGTGGACCAGGTATTGTAAGTTGCACTGGTAGAAAGTAGTGTTGTTAGTTTTTGTTGAACACCATCCATCTCAATATAACCATGAGCATGTAGAGTGAATTCACGTAATGAATATTGATTAAGAGTTTCTGGATTGACAAAAGAATCGACAATATCAATACTTGCCATACCTGATGAGCGCATACAATCTGAACCAGATGATGTCCATGGTCGACTATAGACGAACCATTCACGAATTGGTATTATAATTTGTGTGAATACTTCTGTTAACTCATGCTCATTAAGACTGAGAGCTTTAAGAAACTTGATCTGTTTTAAAACAAGTGAACATTGTTTATTGGCTGACGATAGAAATAACTGGTGACAAGCGGCTGTTACAAGTTCAAGATAAGCAGCAGCAGGAAAGAGAATTGTATCTTGAATTTTGTGATCTTTCAAGTAAGCATATTGTGGTAGATTAACATTGAGAAGATTCTTCCACGTAGCACTTGTTTGTCCTGTTAATTGATGAACACCAAGTAGAGGATGAATAGGAATACAATTAGTCAAACATGTAACAACTGAATCTTTTAATTCATACCAACATGAACTAAGATCAAATGCATATAATGGAAAATCATCAAATATTTGCTCATTATCTACTATCGGTAATACATCTCGAGTTTGAAAATATTGTTGCCAAACATGGGACGATGTCGTTAGCTGTGCGAGACTAGTAAGTAATGTTATTTGTTCATTTTCTTTTCGTTTTAATGTTGGAAGAATAAGTGGGTGGCTATTTGTCGATTGATAACACTCTCCAATAGATGTAGCCAAGACTGGATGTGGTGAAAGTTCAAGAAAAACAGTTGGAGCATCATGTTGTTGAATTGATGCCATAGCATCACGAAATCGAACACATTGTCTCACATTTGACCACCAATAATGAGCATCGACTGGTATCTGGTCACTTAATTTACCACCAGTTACACTCGAATAAAGATTAGCTTTAGCACATTTCGGATTGAATATTTGTTGAGAGTCTTTTAGAGGAAGTCCTTGAATATCTTTAAGCGACGATAACATCTCTTTTTCTATGTCGAATCGATCCATCTGATACGAATGAAATGCATTTTCAATACGAAGACGAGCTTTAAAAACATTGGGATAAAATGTTGAGAGTGTCTGTTGTAATTCATCAATAATATTTTCATCTCCACTTAATGTTACTGAACGAGGACTGTTAACAACAGCAATACAAACAAGATGTTCAATGCCCTTGAGAAGTTTATTTTGTACTTCTTCTTCACTCATGGATACAGCTAACATGCGACCACCTTGTCGTGTATTACGATTTTGAAGACGTGATTGATGGTAAACAATACGAACAGCTTCTTGCAAAGTGAGACGACCAGCAACAAAAGCAGCTGCCTGATCTCCAGCACTATGTGAGACGATTGTTGAAGGATAAATATTCCATGAAACGAGTAAAGCAGCCAGTCCAACTTGAATAGCAAATAAAGCTGGTTGAGCAACATTCGTATCATTAATACGAGATTCGTCTTCACTCTTTTTGTCAATTAATTCTTCCAGCAGACGCCATTCACCATTGTTGATCTTTGTCATTTTAGCATCGATCAATTGAATCCATCGAGTAAAAACCGGTTCACTTTCATACAATTGTCGACCCATAGCCCACCATTGAGGACCTTGTCCACTAAAAACAAAACATATTTTTTGTGATAATGCTATTGCTGGACGTAATTCAATAGCAAGACCCAAGATTGTTTGTTCGACAAGAAAAGCATCGAGTTGTTGTTGTAATTGTTGACGATTTGCAAATACGAAGATGGCTAAGTGAATATAGCTAATGGTTCGTCGAAGAAGAAGTTGTTGAGAAATACGTTGAAAGAAAGCATGATCATTATCTACATCAGAAGTTGGTCTTTTTTGTAACCATTGATTGAATTGTGCTACTTGATCTTTAAGAGATATGCGAGTTTTTGCTAAAATAGGAAAATAATAAGAATGACAATGTTTGATAATCGTCTACTTACTTGAGAAAAGAAAGATGAAGTATTGTTTGTTTTCTATTTGATGGTGTCGATTAACATGACCATTTCGATATCCATCAATGATGGAATTTTTTGCACTAGGTCGATATTCTTCGACAATGGCATGTACATTGTTACCACCCATGCCAAATGAATTTATACACATAGCTATAGGATCAGTGTCAGTGGAAGGAGGAAAAGGTATAGAATGTTGAACAACGTGAAGATTATATCGTTGTGCTTCGATGCGAGGATTAAGTGATGTGAAGTGCATATTTGGCGGAATAGCTCGATGGTGCATACACATAGCAACTTTGATTAACCCAGCAATACCAGCTGCACCTTCTGTATGTCCCAAATTACTCTTGACAGAACCAATCAATAATGGAGGTTCAAGAGATGATCGATTGAAAAATCGACCTAGACAATTTGCTTCAATAGGATCACCTACAGGTGTACCAGTACCATGTGCTTCAATGTAGAAAATGCGTTGAGGATCAAAGTTTGTTCGTTTGTAAATATCACTGAGTAGACGTGCCTGACCAGCCGCTGATGGAACGACAAAACTATTCTTATCTTCACTTCCATCATGATTACTAAGTACATCACGAAGAACACAATATATACGATCACCATCACGCTCAGCATCACTCAGTCGTTTCAATAGTATAAGACCAAGCCCATCACCTTTCGCATAACCATTTGCATCGACACTAAACGATCGACTTCGTCCATCAGGTGACACAGCGCCCATAATCGAACCATATAAAAGATTCTCTGGTGAATAGACAGCATTCACTCCAGCACATATAGCCATGTCTACTTCATTTGTGCGAAGACTTTGCACAGCTAGATGTACAGCCTCCAACGACGATGAACAGGCAACATCCAATGATACGTTAGGACCTTGTAAGTTAAAATGATATGATAGTCGAGCCGCAGCATTATACAGCAAACTATTAGGACCATGAAATCTTGATCGATGTTCAGGCTCCATACGAAATGATGTTATAGCATGATCTGTGGAAAATTGTCCAATATGCACAGATGTTCGTGAACCATCCATTTTCTCCATACTGTAACCAGCATCGTCAAGTAAATGAACAAATTTGAGCATGAGTAGTCGATGGCATGGTTCAATACTACCTGCCTCAGCATCGGACAAACCAAAGAAACTTGGTTCAAACATATCCCATTGATTATTCGATAGGAAATATCCTCGACGAATAAGTTTCTGATGAAGTTGTCCATCATTATCTTTGTTCAGCATATGAGCACAATAAGACTCGAGATCGAGTCGATCGCGTGGGATTGCACTACCCACATCTTGACTATCCTTCAATGTATACCATAAATCGTTGGCAGAATGAATATCACCTGCAAATTCACAGGCTATGCCTACAATAGCCACTGGTTCTAATCGATTGTTGGAAGTTGCCATTTGAATTTTCCAAATATTAATTAATGAGTTAATATGAGAAATCTAAAAACGTATAAATCTAAAATACACAAATATCATAGAAAATATTATATTTTAAATACAACATCGAGTTAAAAAGACGATTGTTTGAGTATCCGCACCATTCGATTAGTGATGATCTAGAAAAAAAAATCGAAGTTTTATATTATTACAATAGTGAAATTTTTGATTACCTTTTGAAATATTTCATATT